TCCTACCTTACCTCCACATAAATCTAAATAATTCCTATTTATTCTTTAAGATACAGCTGAGTTGTTTTCTCTTCCATGATATTTTACATAAAAATCTAGCTGCCTACCACAGATGTCAGTAGTTCCTTAATATGTTGTATACAGTTCTAAGCAGAGACAAGTACTACAAAAACAACTGGGATATAAAGGTAAATTAAAAAAAAATAAAGGTTAGATTTATTTTTAAAAAGGGTATATTTTAATAAAGAGATATTAATTAAGAGTAATATATCCATTCTAAACATGTTTGTTTAAATAATGAGTGCATTTTAAAATGCACAATGAATCAAAGATTATTTTACACTAGTTAGCATAACCTGGCCAGAAGACACACTTTGATTTCTACTGTTAGTTAACATTGTTTCTTGAAGTAATATAAAAAAGCTAAGTGAACATTATTTAAATCTCTATTCTTCTCTGCCAAAGAGGTAGTACTCATAATTTTTCATGTTATAGACTAGGGTATACCCTAGTGTAGAGAGACCAGTGAAAGCCCAGCTTCTTCTAATAAACTGGGCATAACTGCAGATGCCATGTTGAATTTATTACATTCATGCCATTCATTTAGAAAATTCCAGCTATCACACAGCCAAACTATGGCCCACTTGAAGCTATTAACACATATTTATTACTAGATGACAATTCCCAGTTGAAAGCATATGTTACCTTGAAACCTAGGCTAGGCAACTGAATACTTAGATACTGACATCACTTTCTTTTCCCACAGTTCTCAATAAAAAAGTAACTTTTTATTGTTCACTTTTAAGTGGTTAATTATTTTGACTCAAGTAAGTAAGAATCTGGACAATCTGGTCCAAAAAACGTTCTACAAGAGAAAGAGAGTGATCCAGATCTGAACCTTGATAAATAGGTAAAATAAGAAGAATGTAGCAAGAGAATTGAGGGTACTTCTGAGAATGGATTCAGCTTCTGGATATGATAAAGAAAGGTAGAGGCTAATATCAAGAAAATAAAGTGGTCAAGAAAGTAGCAATCTCTACTGACACAACCGAACGAGTGAAGTAGAAATAACTTAATGAAACAATAAGAAAAAAAAGTGTGCAATCATGGAGTCCAAGAGTATAGTATTCAAATTAATATTTCAGAGCTAGAACAATTTCTGCTGATAATTAAATGTAAAGTATGATCATGAGAGTGACTGACCAAAGCAGAATTGGAGGTAAAGCTCACTACATTAGAGAAAGTTAAGGAAGTGAGTGGGTGCTAAATAGATTATTCAGGTAAATGCTGACATTACTCAGGCTTGATGGCAGGAATTGTGATGTTGAGGAAGACTAAAGCCAGGTTGTAAAATCATCAGTGAATAAAATGGTATAATTAAGAGGTCAACAAATGATAGAAACAACAAAGGGTAGTGGGTGGTTGTGTTTAGTTCCAAACATAAAAGGTACCAGATATAAAAATAACAAGCACAAAACATTACAGAAGTAAATACAAGAAAATGGATAGATTACTAGATCAGGGTTCACACATTCAACAAATGTCAAAAAAAAAAAAAAAAAGAGGCCAGTCCAAGAATCTCAAAGTGGATTGGGATGGAGGTCAGAAGGATGAGAACCTTAAAAAATTAGTAAAGCAAATAACAAATGATCAAATTCCCTCAAAAAAAGTGAAGAGAAAGTTACACTGCAAACTCAGCATAGTATTTATTAATTTTGTAAAAGAGACACAGGGATATAACAGGCAAGGAGAGTGCAAGGAAATGCAAAATACATAATTAGATGTTCTGGTTCTGCATATGGCTCCTTTGGTAAAAAATAAATAAATAAATAAATGTTCTGGTTCTCTGTTTGGGTAGTAGATTCAAGGTTGTTCATGTTATTACTATATGTTGTAACTGATATACATTCTTTTGTATGTAGCAAAATTAGATTGAAAGCTAATATATTTTTTAAATTTATGGATACATATTAGTTGCACACATTAATGGGGTATGTGTTACGTTTTGATACAAGCATATAATATGCAATGATCAAATTTGGGCAACTGGGATATCCATCACTTCAAACATTTCCCATTTCATTGTGTCGGGAACATTTCAAATCTCTTCCAGATATTTTTAAATATACAGTAAGTTACTGTTAATTATAGTTGCCTGATTGTGCTATTGAACACTAGATTTTATTCCTTCTATCTAGCAGAGATTTCTTGAGTAAGGCCTCAAAACTACAGGCAACCAAAGCAAAAATTAACAAATGAGATTCTATTAAGGTAGAAAGCTTCTATGCAGCTTAGAAAACATTAAACAAAATGAAGTGACACCTACAGAATGAAAGAAAATATTTGCAAGCTAATCATGCAACAAAAGATTAATAACCAGAATATATAAGAAACCCAACTCAATAGCACCAAATAACAATAATAATCTGATTTTTTTAATTGATAAAATCTTTGAATAGACATTTCTCAAAAGAAGACATACAATGCCCAACAGGTATATAAAAAATGCTCAACATCACTAATCAGAGAAACGAAAATCAAAACCACAGTGAGATATTATCTCACTCAAGTTAAAATGCCTGTTATGAAAAAAATCAGAAAATAACAAGTGCTGGAGAAGATGAGGAGAAAGGGGAGTGCCTGTACACTGCTGGTAGAACTATAAATTAGTACAGCCAGAAAACAGTATGGATGTTCCTCAAAGATCTAAACATGGGACTACCATATGATCTAGCAATCCCTTTTCTGAGTATATATTCATGAGAAGTGAAATCAGTATATTGAAGAGATATCTGCACGCCCATGTTTACTGAAGCACTATTTACAATAGCCATGATATGGACACACACAATGGAATATCAGTTAGCCAAAAAAGAAAGAATAAAGTCATGCCATTTACAGCAACATGAATGAAAACAAAGGACATTTATAGTAAATGAAATAAGCTAGACACAGTAAGACAGACATTGAATGTTTTCACTCATACATGGAAGCCAAAAAAATTGATCTCATGGAGGCAGTGAATAAAATGGTAGTTACCAAAGACTGGGAAGGGCAGTAGAGAGAAGATGAAAAGGGGTCGAAAATGAAAAATAAAATATATTTTAAAGAAAACTAAGGAACTTCATTCTTACCAATTCTACCCATATTGTCTAGGAGTAGGCCACTAGACTTAGGTCAGGCCCTCAAGAGTTTCTTTTGTCCTAGAGCAAGGCAAATACCTTAATACATGCAATCCTACATCAGATATTTGATAACTTGCTTGTAGAAACAGATTTTTCCATGTTATATTTTAATATAAACATTAATGATCTGTGTTTCCTCAGCACAAACCAAATTGTGGCACAGAAAGACAATTCATAAATGTCATCTTCAAAATGGACCAGTTAGGCTGAAGTTGAGAATTTGGGTAAAGGTACAAAATTAATCACCTAGAGATGATCAAGAACTAATTCTAGCTATATTGGTGAATGGAAAAACTAAGTAAGATGAGGCAGACAACCTATTTGTTGATAACCGAGACTAAGAAAATACAAAGTACTGAAAAAGTAATGTGATACATGATTTTAACTTAGAATGAAATGAGGAGACACCAGAGTATATACAATAAGTCTATAATCACTAATGTCTCACTCATATATGTCACCCACCTTTAAAAAAGCTTTAGCCAATTGTCAACATACAGTTATATAATTACTTTTCCATATTTTTGTAAGGTAAATGTACAATTACTAAAAGAAAAAAATAGTATGTAATATATGGCAACAGTAAAAACAAAAAAAAACAAAAGATAATTATTTAGGAATGAAGTAGAACAACAAAAACCAGAGTGAAAAAATGCAAAAGAAAATTAAATATAGCAATAACCATTGTCATATAATTAAACTGGAAGGCACAAAATTTCAATTATATTTGCTGAAAGATATTACAAAAATTATTAGCAACTTACTATTGCTATTACCTCTTATGTTTCCTTTCACATATACTCACATAAATTCAATTCTAATAAATTTACTCATTGGTTTTTAAAATTATTTTTATAAACTCTTTTATTATCAACTCTTAGTTAATTTCATAGGGATGAAAGGAGTCACACAGAACTCCAAATCACTTAGACACAATAGTCAAGGTGACTAACCACTGCACATAATTCCTAATTCAGGCTAGCTAAGCCTTCTACCACATTATTTCTTTACCTAAAGGATCTCAAATGTCACTGACTCAAGTCTCCAAATGTTCATACAGCCTTGAGAATTTTTCAAATTTTAGGATCATCTCTCCCTTCTTTTTCTAATTAACCTCTCAAGTTAACTCCTCTTGCTGTTATATGCCATGTAATTGAGATTTCCCCCCATGTAAATTATTTTTCCTTAAGTCATTGTAGCTGTACTATCTATGATTCACTGCAAATTCCCACTTTGGAAAGAGAAATGGTGGTAGGGTAGAAATGAACAAGTGTTTTCTCACAAACTCAGTATTCTCTGTAGATAAGGATTATCTACTATGACAAGGGAGTAGATCAAAGCCTTCTCTGAAAAAGTAACCACAAAAAAATAAGTTCAACTTAAGCACTTCAAAGACAGACCCACTACTCTGGGATGGTGAGGTGGGAAAGTGAGTTTTTAAGACATATGCCATCTAAATACCTAATTATGAACTCTGTAGATGAAGGCGAGCAGTCAACTGCAGTTAATTTAAAAAGAACACTGTTATTCTACCTTTAGAGGTAATAGAGAATTAAATGTAATTCTAGATGAACTAAATTTTTAGAATCATCAAAGAGATGATCTTAATTTATGAAAGGGACACTGTATTGTTGTTCTACTACAATCAGTTAACATATGTTTTATTTCATGTTATTTTATATGGGTGATATTTCTGTATTTCATTAACAACCATATATGTATATATAATAAAACATAAATAAAAGTGGACTATATTATATCAATACACAGGCACAAGCAATTCCACAAACAGACTCAATTGTAAGAAAAATATACCTGCCGGAGTAGGGGAAGATGGCACTGTAGAAGCAACTCAGGATTGCAGCTCTCAGTGAAGACGCAGAGGGTGAGTTCATGCCACATTTCCAGACAGATCTTTGTTGCCCACAGAACGGGGAAATTCCCAGGTGTAGGAGAGACAGGGGACGCCAGTGCAGCTGTCTTGGCTGGCGCGGCTGTTTTGACCAGCACCGCAGCACAGGGGCACGCCACACAAAACACACTGGTCTGGGTGCCCTGTTAAACCGGCAATTTGAGATTTGGGAGGGCAGATTAGCATATTCATATGATTAAATGGGACTTGGACAGTGAGCCAGGCCAGGAGATTCCTGGGAAGCAAACTGTGAGCCAGTGAGTCACTCCATGGGAAAACACACAGATCCCGGTGCCCTTTCAGCAGGCGACTGAAACACCTGGGAGAGAGTCAACCATTCAACTTAAAAAAAACAAAAGGGCTCTGAGGCAGGGAGCCAGGTGATCAGGCTTGACAGGTCCCACCCCCACAGGGACAAACAAAACGACGATTTGAAACGTTCTGGGTTGAGTTTCATGGCGGGCACAGCTGAACCTAGGACAGTGCAGCTCGGTGGGGGAGGGTCATCTGCCATTACCGAGACATTCGGCCCCTACTGAGGTACTCTCCCATTCCTGACGCAGCCTGCCATTGCCGAGGCAACCCACAATAACAGAGAGACTCCAGCAACAGGGCGAAGCCCACGGCAGCAAGGCAGAGCCCACGGCAGCAGGGTGGAGCCTCGGCAGGCAAATAGTGACTAAACTGCCTTTAACTAAGGTAAAGGAATAGGTGAAAACATTTTACAGTAACCCCTTCCTGAAAGCAGTGATTATATTAATAATAAGGTCTAATAGTATTTAATCATATTTACCTGTCTCTAGCTGGAGAATAATGGTCATCCATGACATGATGTCTAAACATTTGGCTAATTGTATTATAATGTCCAAATTATTAAGTGTCCCTCGAAGACCCTGTTCCACATTCCGACTAAAACAACAAGGTCCATTAAATATTTTAGTAAATAATTTTACATACTAAGAAACGAGGGTTATTTTAAAAAGCAATAGAAAAAGAAAAAGTTACTATATTGTGAAGTCCAAATTTTGTTTTAACTAATTTCAACCCTGGCTAAAGGTATAAGTTTCAGTTGAAGGTTGATAGGAAAGTAATATTACTGCTGCAACAGATGTAGCATAAGAAGCTCAAATTAAGCTAATAACAGTGGGGATATGATAAGGACTATCGAAGTTATTAATGGATGGCTATCAGGTCTCTAGTGCTGATATTCAATAATGTACTCAAGAGGAGGAGTAGATTTATTTGGAGAAACTATGTTCAGTGTTAGACACATCTGTATACATGACCTATAGAATGGAGACTGAGATGCCTCATAGGTGGCTGGATATGAGTTCAGAGCTTAGGAGAACAAGTCAAAATTTGCACACTTTGCATTTTGCACCATCTCCCTTGATACCACCCTGGTCCAAATTACCTTCTTTGTGGATATACCATAACAATAGCTATCTAAGTAAACTCTTGATTCAACTCTCACCTCATCCGTGATGACACACAACAGCCCTTTAAAGCACAATTAAGATATGGCACATCACATTGTAGAATGAAAGATATGAGTCCAGCTTTTTAATATATTCCATCGGTGAACTAATTTTCCTATCCTGCCTGACCCACCCTTTCCATATTAATTGTGGTGCCACTTTATCATGTGTCAAGTTCACATATAAGTATCAGTATAAATGTATATATATTATTCTTTTACTATTGATTCCCTTCAATATGTCTATTTTGCTGCTGTTATTCAAGTTCCATCCTATTTTTAATTACTCACACCTGCTGGTAAATTTTTCTCTTCTTTTTTCAAAATAGATTTATTGGCATGTCCTTATATTTTCATATAATGTCTAGAACAAGTTTATAAAAATTTCACATAAAATTGTGTTTGTTATGGCATTACATTTATAAACTAATTTATGGACAATTGATATCTTTATTATGTGAAGTTATTCTACCCATGCATAGGACATATCTCTCATTAGTTCCTTACCCGAAGTTTTACATCTTACTTAAAGGTCCTGTGAATTCTTAGTACATGAATTTTGTTAGATACTTCGGGTTACTTTTGAGAATAGTACTTACATCTTACTAGTTATTACCCATATTATAAGTTGATCTATGGCCAGCTATTTGGCAGAACTTTTATATCAGTTTTAATATTTTGATTATATTGGGTTTCCTATGTAGATAATCCTATTATCAACAAATAATGATGGTTTTCATCGCTTCTCTTCCAATCTCTTCCAATCCTAAAACCTCTTACTTCCTTTCATTTTCTTTTCTTAACATTTTTTCAGGACCTGAAGTACTATTTTAAGCAATGGCAATATTAATAAACATCCATCTCTTATTTCTGCTATTAATGTAAATTTCTCTAAAGTTTTTCCATTAAATATAATGCTTGCTTTATCTAGCCTTTACGAAGTGTAGGTGGTTCTCTTCTAGTTTGCTATCTTAAGTGAATAGAAGTTGAACAATTAATTATTTTTTCTGCCGCTAGTAAGATTTATTTCGCATTTGTCCACTAATAGATAAATTACCATAACCATTTTTCTGGTGTCTCACCATCATGATTTAAATTCATGGTTAGATTTACTTAAAGTAAGATTTCTTACATCTGTTTGTAACGAAAATGGTCTTCTTAAGCTGAACACAGAGGCACATAGACCCAGTATCTGCTCCTAGAGGATTGATTGAGCCCAGGAGTTCCAGTCTAGCCTGGGCAACATAGTGAGACTGACTTTGAAAAAAACAAAAAGAAAATGGATTATGATATTTCATCATTCTGTAAGAATTAGAGTTAAAGTTATGTTAGTTCCAGAAAAAGAATTAGGCAACTTTACTTCTTTATCTGTTTCTAGAGCCATTTGTTTAGAACAGCAATTAGTTCTCAAAAACTTGGTTCAAACCTACCTGTAATATCTTTTTTAGTCTGAAATTCTTTTTATGAGTGGATGAGTGGAAAAGAGTAGTTTGTCTTTGAGTACCATTCAACCTATTTGCTGGTTGTTATTTTACTTTCATTTCTTCTCCTGTCAATTTAACTACTTTATACCTATTTCAGAAATGTAACAATTTTGCCTACATTGAAAATTTAATAACAATTTCAAAATCATTATTATTTTTAAAGAATTTTTCTTATCTGTAGTTGTTTCCCTTTTTCAAAGTTTTATTCATTTCTACCTCTCATTTTTCATGTACAGTCCTTTTATTGTATTGCTGTCATCGATGTTTTCAAATAACTAACTTTTGGGTTAACATACATTCTCTCTTATCTTTCACTTGTTTTTCTTACTGTCTGTGTTTCATTTTGTCTCAGTGTCACTGAGTTTTCCCTAATCTTTATTAATTCCATAAATATATACACCTACTATGTACTCACAAAATTAAAAATTTGACATCAAAAAAGATATCTGCACTTTCATGAATACAGTGATAAGGGCACAAAGTACGTAATAGTTCCAACATGGAAAATAGGAAATCCATCCCTTCAAGCATTTATCCTTTGTCTTACACAGAATCAAATTATACTCTTTTAGTTATCTTAAAGTGTACAATTAAATTATTTTGACTACAGTCACCCTGTTCTGCTCTCAAACACTAGGTTATATTTATTCTTTCCATTCTTTGTACCTATTAACCATCTCCGCATCCCCTTCATACCCTGCCACCCATCCCAGCTTCTAGTAACTGTCCTTCTGCTCTCCATCTCCATATGTTAAATTGTTTTGATTTTTAGATCCCACAAATAAGCGAGAGCATGAAATGTTTCTGTTTCTGTATCTCTTATTTCTCTTGATGTAATGACCTCCAGTTCCATCCATGTCGTTGCAAATGACAGAATCTTATTTCTTTCTAGCTGAATAGTACTCCATCGTGCATAAATACATTTTCTGTATCCATTCATATGCTAGTGGACATGTAGGTTACTTCCAAATCTTGGCTATTGTGAATAGTATTGCAACAAATATGATAGTGCAAATATGTCTCTGACATATTGATTTCCCTTCTTTTTGGCATTTACCAAGCAGTGGGATGATGGATCATATGGTAGCTCTAATTTTAGTTTTTTGAGGAACCTCCAAACTGTTCTCCATAGTGGTTATACTAATTTACATTCCAAACAACAGCATACAAGGGTTCCCTTTTCTTCACATACTTGTCAGCATTTATTATTGTTTGTTTTTGAATATAAGCCATTTTAACTGGGGTGAGTTAACATATTGTAGTTTTGATTTGCATTTCTTTGATGATCAGTGATGTTGAGAACCTTCTGGTATGCCTGTTTGCTATTTGTATGTCTTCTTTTGAGAAATTTCTATTAAAATCTTTTACACATTTTTAAATTGGCTTATTGAATATTTTTTCCCTATAGAGTTATTTGAGTTCCTAACACATTCTGGTTATGAATCCGTTTACAGGTGGATAGTTTCTTTGCAAATGTTTCCTCCCATTCTGTGGGTTGTCTCTTCATTTTGTTATTTCCTTTGCTGTGTTGAAGCTTTTTAACTTGATATGATCCCTTTTGTCCACTTTTGCTTTGTTTGCTTGTGTGTGGGGTATTACTCAAGAAATTTGCTCAGACCAATGTCCTGGAGAATTTCTTGAATGTTTTCTTATAGCAGTTTCATAGTTTGAGATCTTTAATCCATTCCATTTTAATCCATAGATTTAGGTCTTTAATCCATTTTAATTTGATTTTTGCATATGGTAAGAGATAGAGGTCAAGTTTCATTATTCTGCATATGTATATATCCAGTTTTCCCAGCACCATTTATTGGAGAGACTTTTCTTTCTCCATTGTATGCTCTTGGTACCTTTATCAAAAATGAGTTTGCTGTAGGTGTGCAGATTTGTTTCTGGGTTCTCTATTGTGTTCCATTGGTCTACATGTCAGTTTTTATGCCATACCATGCTGTTTCAGTTATTATAACTCTGTAGTATAATTTGAAGAAAGATAATGTGGTTTCTTCAGTTTTGTTCTTTTTGCTCACAATAGCTTTGGCTATTCTAGGCCTTTTGTGGCTCCACATAAATTTTAGAATTATTTCTTCAGTTTCTGTGAAGAATGTCATTGGTATTCTGATAGGGATTGCATTGAATCTGTGGATTGCTTTGGGTCATATAGGAAGTTTAACAATATTGATTACATCAGTCCATGAAATGGAATACTCTTGCATCTGTCATCTTCAATTTCCTGTACCAGTGTTTTATAGTTTTCATTGTAGAGATCTTCCATTTCTTTTATTAAGTAAATTTCTAGGTATTTAATTTTATTTGTGATTGTTATAAATGGAATTACTTTCTTGATTTTTTCAGATTGTTCACTGTTGCCATACAGAAATGCTATTGATTTTTGTATGTTGATCTTTTATCCTGCAACTTTACTGAATTTATCAATTTGAATAGTTTTTTAGTGGAGTCTTCAGGTTTGTCCAAATATAAGATCATGTCATATGCAAACAAGAATAATTTTGCCTTCCAACTTTACAATGTAGATGACCTTTATTTATTTCTCTTGTCTGATTGCACTAGCTAGGACTTCCAGTACTATGCTGAATAAAAGTGGTGAAACCGGGCATCCTTACTGTGTTCCAGATC